ACTCTGTTCTATCTGCAGCTGCAGGTCTAACAGAGCAGTAGCAGACAACCTCTATCTATACTAACTCTCTCTTTTCAATCTACTCTCTATCTCCTATATGGCACCTAAATGCCTCTAAACACACACAAGGGTTCTCCCCTATTACGTCTATACTGCTTAGTCTCTCTAACGGGAAGGAGAGCTATAGCTAGAAATAGTAGAAATACTCGCACATGCAAGAAATGCTTTCTAGGGTAGCGCAACAGCACTGTAAATCCATAGCTCAGCACGTCCTACATGCCCTTCGGGAGGCAGGATGGTGGACTTAATCCCCATCCTTCGGACGAAAATCAATTCCAACCAACCAACCAACCAGCGCGTACGAGACTTGGCACGCAAGCGCGTCTTCTACATCAACAAAGAAGGCTTCCTCCCTGCCTTTAAGGACGCGTTTTTTAACGTGTTTACAGCAGAGAACTGTCACAAGGCCTTTAAGGCAGCAGGGCTAGTCCCTCTTAACGCGCAGGTTGTGTTAGATCGCCTTGAAGTGCGCCTGCGTACCCCACTAGAACCCCTCCTCCTAGAGACGCTGTGGCAGTCAAAGACTCCAAGCAATACCCACGAGTTTGGATCTCAGTCGAAGCTCGTACGCGAGTCTTTTACTTGGTCGCCTATTACTGCGCAAGCAGGCTTCTCTCAGCTTGTTAGAGGCGGCGAGCTTATGCTGCATCAGAACGCGCTTCAAGCAGCCCGGATTACTGAGCTTAAAGAGCAATTAGCAGTAATGACTAAGCGGAAATCGCGCAAAAGGAAGCGGATCCAGCAAGGTGGTACTATGGAGTATGGTGAGGCAGCAGCTCAGGTGGCCGCAGAGGCCTCTGTAGCCGCTGAGCGGTCAAAGAAGGCTCATGGTGGTGGTGATCAAGAACAAGCTCAACCAGCTCTACGGCGCTGTGGAAACTGTAGAGGGACTAGACACAACGCGCGAACGTGCAAAAAAGATATAGAGGCATATTCTAAATCAGATACAAGCACAGCGTACGCAGGCTCTATGTTAAATAGCGATGAAATTGAAGAGTTGTAACGTGAGTTGGTACTGCCAAGCTTTTTTGGCCCGGGTGCTGGGTTGGCCCGGGTGCTGGGGGTTTACGTTAACGTAAACTCTCGTTTATAGTACCCCCCTAAAATTTCCTCCGAGCAAGAATTCACTTACAGTGCACAGGTTTTATAAGCAAGAATTTATGGTAGTGGAAGGAAGCAACGTCAACGGTCGCCCAGACGATCCTTCCCGCTGTTCGCTAGGTAGGCGGTGGCGTCATATTTCCGTGAGTCGCCAAACCCTCCGACATGAGAACCTCCAACACCACTAGGTCACTCGCTTTACGACATGCACGACTCTCGGCGATTCTCCGACACTCCCCTAACCTTATTCATGTCAGCGCATCATGTGTCCTGATCAACGCAGCTATGCCTTGATGTAGCGCAGTGCACCGACGCCTCGGCTGAACTACGAGCGGGAAATCCTGGAGCAATCAAAGCTAACAACATGTTCGGTATATCGCTGCTGCCATTCCCCGCAACGTCACCGTCGACGATGTCCACAATTTCTCCGGTGCTAGAATTCCCCGCAAATGAGTGTTGATGGAGTTGAGCAGAAGCGGAGATCCCATGTGTGCTTCTAGTAAGCGTCAGGAACGGGCAGGAGGTCGGTGATGTGAGGTCGGCCGTGACGGTCGTCTAGTGTTTCCTGACAGATGGGACTTCTTTATATGTTCGGATGAGCGCCGAGAAAAGACTTTGATCTCTAGTATCTCGTTTGGATTGTCAAGATGAGGTTCTCTACCTTCTTCTTCTCCTCGCTGCTTTCCCTGACCGTCTCAGCTGTCCCTCAAGGGTCGTCGAAGGTCCCTGAGTTCTTCTCTCAGCGCGTTGTCTTCACACCGCCGTCGGACTACACCGACCCTCGGACTCTGTACGCTCGTACTGCCCAATTCGAAAACGGCAACCTTCTCGCGACATGGGAGAACTACAGCCCTGAGGGCAGCGACCCCCAGTCCAAGGTATACTTCCCCATTTATAAGTCGACCGACGGCGGATACAACTGGAAGGAGATCTCGCGCGTGTACGACCAGGCGCAACCCCAGAACGGTCTCCGATACCAGCCATTCCTCTATGTTCTTCCTAAGAAGTTCGACAAGTGGCCTGCTGGTACCGTTCTCCTCTCTGGAAGCTCCATCCCTACCGACCTCTCCACGACCCAGATTGAGCTGTACGCTTCGACCGATAAGGGCTACACATGGGAGTTCGTTTCTCACATCGCTGCTGGTGGAGTAGCTATCCCCAACAACGGCCTCACTCCCGTCTGGGAGCCCTTCCTCATGCTCCACGAAAAGAAGCTCATCTGTTACTACTCGGACCAGCGCGACAACGCCACTTACGGACAGAAGATGGTCCACCAAACCACCACTGATGGCAAGAACTGGGGCCCCGTCGTCAACGACATCCGCCACTCCAGGTACACCGACCGTCCCGGCATGCCCACTGTCTCTCTCCTGCCCAACGGCAAGTACATGATGACCTACGAGTATGGCGGCGGCCCGACCAACAGCTCGAGCTATAAGTTTCCTCTCTTCTACCGCCTGTCCACCGACCCCGAGAAGTTCGACTCGGCCGAAGACCACCAGCTCATCACCACTGATGGCACGATCCCCGAGGGCTCTCCCTACAACGTGTGGACCCCCATTGGCGGTAAGAACGGCACCATCATTGTCAGCTCTGGCACTAGCGGCGACCTCTACATCAACAGTGGTCTCGGCGAGGCTGGCACACCCTGGATCAAGGTCCCTACTCCGGAGAAGCAGCACTACACTCGCCACCTGCGTGTGCTGAAGGATCAGAAGAAGCTGCTCATTATGGGTGGCGGTATTCTGCCTCCTAGCACGACTAACAAGGTGCAGCTGTCTGTAATTGACATCGCCCAGTTCTCCAAGGATTAGGTGAATGGAGATAGTAGCAATATATAAGGTTGAATTAAATAATCAAGTCAAACATCACATCGTAAAAACAGGGCGCCTATATCACAAGTGATGTTGATTGCAGCCGAGGGCAGGTTGTTGGGTGTCCATGCTGCACGGCTCTACACATGGACTTCTACTATTGAGCTTTGCGCGATGCTGGAAGCTGAGCAAGCATCAGGCCTCTTGCGGTCTTCGCGTTGGCTCATTCGTCCAACCACGCTTTCATCCGGCTGCGAGACGCGTAGCGGCGGAAGTCTTAATACGCTTTGAAAAGATGCCAGTGCATCAAAGCTTTGTCGGGGAGTCGAATAGCAAAATATCACCCCGCGCATGTTGAAGTTCGCGATGTGATGCATGGTGTATTGATGCCCCACATCGCGAGTGCACAGCGAGCTCGGACACATGCTTAGTCATCTAGCGAGTCCACCACAGCACCAGGGGAAATATCGAACTTCGACCCGCCACGCTGCCAGCCCACGCACGCACTCTCTCGACAACACTCTCCCAACTAACCCTTCTCCCGCCAGCAAAAACCGACAAAATGGGTGGTGTTTCAGTTAAGGACGTCGAGGCGCAGAAGTTTATCACTTCGTACGCCGCCTTCTTGAAGAGGCAGGGAAAGCTCCCCATGTAAGTTGCAATTCGAGTGTGTTTGGTATGAAGCGGTGCTAATGTTTTGAAGCCCAGGTTCGTACCATTCCAGCGGGTGAAGGATTGAACCTGAATCCCGTCGCTGGGGGATAATTGTACGATCAGCTTGCTGACCGTCTTATCTACAGGTTGGGTTGATACCGTCAAGACATCGCGTAAGTTTTCCATCGCTGCTAGGATTAATTGTGGTCGCGCAAGCGCTAATGATGATGAAAGACTCCAACGAGCTGCCTCCTCAGGACATCGACTGGTTCTACGTCCGCGCCGCCGCCGTCGCCCGCCACGTCTACATGCGCAAGACCGTCGGTGTTGGCCGTCTCCGCAAGGTCCACGGGTGCGCTTCCCTCCACCACCAGGCATGAAGGACGAAGAATGCTGACAGGAACAGTTCCACCAAGAACCGCGGCTCCCGCCCCTCCCACCACGTTGACGCCTCCGGCTCCGTCGACCGCAAGGTCCTCCAGGCGCTCGAGAAGATCGGCGTCGTGGAGATCGACGAGGACAAGGGTGGCCGTCGCATCACACAGTCCGGCCAGCGTGATTTGGACCGCATTGCGCAGACCACTCTCGAGGCCGAGGAGGAGGAGGACGACGAGTAAATGCTCCATTACGTATGCTTGACGAGTAGAAGCTCGCACGAGCATCTCTCTGTAATTACGAGTGACCTCGATGAGTGGACGTTGGCAGCTTGCATTTACGGTGCATCTATGGGTTACGGGCTATGGCGTTACGCTGGGGCATCTAGCCAGACATGTTCCAATGGAGACAGGCACCGCCTGAAAAGCAACTTGATACCCCCTTCTTCAAAGTTAGTGCCATTGGATTCGTCGTGACCGCTGCAGACTACGTGGTCCCTTCACACCGCGCACAGCGTAGGCCTCTTCAAAAGAGCGATGCTTTGCGGATACCCTAGAGATCGCCAAGATGTGTATTGCACAAGGTAAATTCATCGCAGACAAGTGCATATTCATCCAACTTCTCCCTTTCTCATCGTCCTCAGAACAAATCCGTCATAGCACCATGGCTAGCATCGCCCACCAACCGCGCATACTTGGCCAGCACACCCCTCGTGACGGGCATACTCGGCGTCTTCCACTCGCTCAATCTGCGTGCGATCTCCTCATCGCTGACATGCATATCAATCCGATGCTTCTCCGCATCGATGGTGATAACATCCCCTGTTCGTACAACAGCGATGGGACCACCCACCGCCGCCTCGGGACACATGTGCCCCACGATGAACCCATGGGACGCGCCGGAGTAGCGCCCATCAGTGATGAGCGCGACATTGGTGAGTTTGGCGCCCATGATGGCCGCAGACGCTTTGAGCTGCTCCGGCATGCCCGGCCCGCCCTTAGGGCCCTCGTAGCGCACGACGACGACCACATTCTCGCCGTGCGGGATCCGGCCCGCGTTCAGCGCGGCGTCGAGTTGATGCTCCTTGTCGAAGACGATGGCCTTGCCGGTGAAGCTGAGGCCCTCTTTGCCTGTGATTTTGGCCACGGCACCAGCGGGGGCGAGGTTGCCGCGCAGAATCTCGATGTGGCCTGTGGGCTTGATCGGGTTGCTGAGTGGGCGGATGAGGACCTGGTCTTGCGGGAGCGACGGGTAGGGCTCAACGTTTTCAGCGAGCGTTTTGCCTGTGACTGTGGGGATGGACCCGTCGAGCAGGTTCGCGGCGATGAGGAGCTTCATAACGGCGGGCATGCCGCCGATGTCGAACAGGTCGGCGGCCATGAATTGGCCACTTGGCGCGAGGTCGGCCAGGAAAGGAATCTTGTTGCTGACGCGCTGGAAGTCGTCAAGGGTTAGGGGCACGCCCGCGGTTCCGGCCATGGCGAGCAGGTGCAGGACGGCGTTTGTGGAGCCGCCGAGCACCATCATCATGACGAGGGCGTTTTCAAACGAGGCTTTCGTGAGCAGCTTGCGTGGCGTGATGTTCTTCTCCATGCAGACGCGGATGGCAGCGGCGGCTTTGGCGCACTCGCGCATTTTCGCGGGGGATTCGGCGGGGGTGGTGGACGAGTTGGGGAGGGTGAGGCCCATGGCTATGTCGTGTCAGTGTGCACTGCGAGGGCAGCAGAGGTCTGCCTCACCTTCAATGGACGTGGACATGGTGTTCGCCGTGTACATGCCGCCACAGGCTCCAGCGCCGGGGCAAGCGTTCTTCTCAATGTCCTCCATGATCTCGTCGGGCGAGAACTTGCCCGGCTCGGCGCTGTCGAGGTTCTTGTAGATGTAGGCGCCGTGCTTCTCGTAGCAGGTTGAGATGTTGATGGGGCGGCGCAGCGTCTCCGAGTAGCCGGGCATGATGGAGCCACCGTAGACCATGATCGAGGGCCGATTGTGGCGGGCAAAGGCCATGATGACGCCGGGCATGTTCTTGTCGCAGCCCGGCAGCGCGATGCATGCGTCGTGGTGCTGGGCGCAGGTGACCGTCTCGATGCTGTCGGCTATGATCTCGCGGGTCTGCAGGGAGAAGCGCATGCCTGGGCTGTCAGTTCTCCGCCTGCTCATCTGTGGGGCAGTCCGTACGCACCCTCTCCGCCCATGGTGATGCCGTCTGACACTCCGACCGTGTTATACTGCCATGCCAGCATCTTGTCCTGCTCAATGTGCTTCTTGATCTCCTTGCCCAGTCCGAGCACTGCCAGCAGTCAGCATCTCCCGCGTATGAACTGCCCCCACGCATCGTCGCGGCTCTGCGGGCGTCTGCCGGCGTGGGCCATGGTCGGATGCGTGCGTTCAAAAGCGTCGACTTACAGTGCGTGCTGCATGATGGTCAGCACCATGGCGCCACTTCCGTGGGGTTCACTCACTTGCATGGGTTGCCCTCCCACCACACACTGGCAATGCCAACCTGCGGGTATGTCTTCATTGCCTCTTTGTTGGGCACGCCAGCCGCGTACAGCATGGCCTGTCATCGCTGTCAGTCTCTGCTGAACTGTACCTGTGTGGGCAAAGAGACCTGAGCTCCCGGGAAGTTGTGGCCCGTGGTGAGCGTGGACGACCACCGGTTCAGCGCGGGTGTGCCGTCCTCCTTCTTCGTGCCCTCAGGCAGGTGTGGGAAGCTGAGGAAGCGAGGCTCCTCCGGCTCACGCTGCTTCTCGAGGTTGCTCGGATCCATCGTGGACGCTCAGTAGATTCAGTTCACTGCGGCTGGAGAGTCACTGGGGTCCAATTGACAGAGTCCGTGATGAAGAGAGTCAGTGTAGATCAGGAGAGTCTACAAGGGGGCAAGAGCAAAGAGTCAAGCTTGGAGACTTGGATTAGATATGGACGCCCTGCGAGCAGATACCAACAAACAGCTAACCGCACCCGCAACCAGGGCACGTCGGATGCAGGTCGGGACAACACAGCCTAGCTGCTTGAAGCATGCCGACTGATCAAAGAGCTTCCAAGTGGGGCTGTCCTGGTGTCGTTTTCGAGTCGAAGCGCCTTGGAAAGAGGGGTGACAGCCCCTCCAAGATCAGATCCATCCTCGCGACGTGCTACGTGGAGTCTAGTCTGCGGAGAGAGCCAATGCGAGCCCATGTGTTGGAAGCCAAGATGTGGTCATTGGAGGTCGCGAAGATCTAGCGCGTTGTCGTTGTGCTGGCGCGAGACGGTCGAAAATTGTTTCGCGGCACCGCTGAGCCCTCCGATATGCAGGCGTCGGTGAGAAAACCGGGGATTGACTACATCACGATAGCGTCAACGGCGGGCGCTGACCTGTGACGACACACCGTGTTGTCGGCGATAGTAATAAGACTGCAAATGTTGAGGTTGCTGCAAATGTGAGTCTGCACGTGAGCAGCAAGTCAATGTCAGCTGCATTGATAGTTCTGGTATCCTACGACGTTGACATCACGCTCCATCATGGTGTTCGAGACGCAAACGCCGACTTCGAGGTGTCCCCATTCGTCTGCTTACCGAGATGCAGTAGCGGATCCGAGAGCGAGGCCAGGTGCAAGGCTGTGTCGTGGGCTTTGAGGTCTTGTCCAGCAACACCCTCATCGTGCTGCTTCTTGATAAGTTGGTCTGCATATGCGAGCCGAGCATCATTCTTTGTAAGCGTCTCGTTACGGGCACCACAGTGTCAAAGGCCGCCTTGGCCCAAATCCGACTTGTGGAATCTTTGCTTGTTCTGTGCGAGAAGGTAAGAGGTGGACGAAGCATAAATGAAGTGCTTATAACTAGTAGAACTTTTCAAGTCTTTTTGACGTTAGAGAGATGTTCAGGGGATTGTTGGCAGTTGGCTTCGACCGTTGTTCTTCAGCCCTGTGCCTTCCGCATGGGGCGCCCCTGCCGTCTCAACTACGATTGCGAATGACGCAACTTCTTCATTTTATCAACACAACCCTTGTCGCGCCATATCGTGTTTGAGTCACCCCAGGATCTTCGCAACTCTTGATCGCACACCGTCTTCACACGACATAGCGCACACTCTGTCACCATCCGCTGGCATCCAGCTCGCTTCGTTACTTCTTCACGATGCACCTCGTACCTATCGCCCGATTGCAGATCAGGTCCTCCGGTTTGTAGCAGCGCGTCTGTTGTAACACAACGTGCGCCCTCTGCATTAAAAGAGACATTGCCGGGATTTGGCCTCTGCCCTGCGGTGAAGCACATCGTGTTCGCAAATCCGGATTCCATTGGTCGCCGTTGGGCGAGGATCCGCGCATCAACCTCCTCAAAGTTGGCACTCAGACGCCGCGTTGAACACCGATCCAGCCCCGGAGCACGCGAACAGCCATGGAGCCTCATTCGCGATTCCTTTCATCTCAGATTGGCACGTTGCGTCTTCCACAGGCTCTCATCCTGCTGCTCAAGTCCGCTCTGGCACAGTCGGCCAATGATCAGGGCACACAACGTCTCACCGACCTTACCCTGTGGGACTCTATAAGACTTTCAATTTACCGCCTGGTCCTTCACATCAATCCCTTCGTGGACCGAGGCAACGTTGCCGCTTCAGCTATCATGGGCATGGTTAAGTTGACGGCTCTATGCGGCTCTGCTTACTGGGTATGGGATCGGCAGAGCAAGAAAGGGAAGATTGCTCCGTCCATCAACTCCCAGCATGTGGAGGACGCCACAAGGGGTAAGAAAGTTCCGTATGATTTGCGCCACACTTGTTACATACACGTGCCCAGTAGCAGCTATCCTTGAATTGAACTAGATCACTGACCATAGCAGACGATGCTGTCACCAACGATCCGGGTCTTTTGAGAAAGCACTCCACCATGCAGTCCTACTCTGTGGCGTCTAGCAACTTCACGTATCCTGCTGTCCGGACGTTCTACAGGCCACATCCTCAGGAAAGCAAGTTCCCTAGAGAGCCCAGCCCTGTGCCTTTACTGGTCTTCATTCACGGTCTTGGCGGATCGATGGCGCAGTTCTATCCCATCCTGTTGAGCTTATCCAACCTCGCTTCGTGTCTGGCGGTCGACCTTCCGGGATGTGGTCTGTCCTCGTTCCAACCAAAAACCGCTCAGGCGTACACAACCGATGCACTCGTTCAGCTTCTGGCGACCGTGATTGAGCAACATCGTGCCAAGGATGAGGACCAGACGGTTGTCCTCATCGGTCACAGTATGGGATGCTCTCTTGCTGCACTTCTAGCCTCACCGTCGTCGCCTCATGCCAGTCTGATCTCGCAGCACGTCAGTGGACTGATCGCGATTTGTCCCAAGGCAGATCCTCCGACCGAACACCAGACAAAGCTCCTGCAGCGAGTCGCTTCAGTGCCTGCAGTGATATTCGATCTGTACCGAAAGTGGGATCGACGAGGAGGGGTCAACAGTGCAAGTGTTGCGCGTATGGCTGGGACAGACGCCGAAGAACAGACAAAGAAGTTGCAGTTGCGCTTCAACCGACAGAGTCGTACGGCTGTATGGCAGCGCATGGCACGTGGAATGTGCCCGGACTATCTGGCTGATCCTCCACGGGGTGGTCTTCCAGGGCGCCAAACGTGGAAGGGCTTGCAGATCCCAGTGTTCCTCACTGCTGGCGAAGCTGACACCGTCACTCCGCCTGAGAATGTCAAACTCATTGTCGACTTCCTCGGAAGGGACGTCGGCGCTATAGAGCCGCCCAGCGAGAAGGCAAGCCTGCCAATTGCAGCAGCCCCCTTCGACCCGGCCTTGGTAGACCCAGCCTTAGCAGAGCGCAAGCACCAAGACTCCGGCGTCGATAGCAACGATATTCCCAAACTCGATTCCGACACAAAACCTTCCAGCACGACAGCCGCCTCCACCATGGCCTCCAGCCTCATCGAAATCGAGAGCCGCACCACAGAATGCAGCGTCGTTATGTCTAACCCTGCGACCTCAGCACCTCCCTCACATAACAGGCCCTCGCCCCACCCGCGCCGCCTCGTTGTCAAAACAACAATCATGCCCAACCCCGCCGCCCACGCCATGCTCTTCGCCCCCTCAACGTCGCGCACGCTCTCGGGCCTGATCGGCAGCTTCCTCGCCGACCACATCGACCCGCGGCTCTCGCTCGCGTGGCAGCTGCAATACCTCTCGACCGAGGGAAAATGGGACGTCAAGAACCTGGAGAAATGGAGCGCGGTGCGTCCCATCTCGGAGCCGATAGCGGGGATATTCCGCGCGATGAAGACGTTGCGCGAGGTCGACGAGTGCCATAGTCCGAAGTTGGTGGTGCAAGAGTGGAAGGGCAGGATCAAGGCGGTCGTGGACATCAGCCACGACAACCCCGTGTACGACCCGCGCGGGCTGCAGGACGGCGGGATCGAGTACTTCAAGTTCCCGACGGTGAGCAAGCAGCCGCCGCTGCGCGACGAGGTGCGCGCCTTCATCGAGCTGGTCGATCGCATCGAGGCGCACTGCCGCGACGAGGGGAAGCACGGCCTGATCGGCGTCCATTGCCACTACGGGTTTAATCGCACGGGTTTCTTCCTCGTGTGCTATCTGGTCGAGAGGCTGGGGTGGCGGCTCGAGGATGCGATTCAGGAGTTTCAGAGCAGGAGGCCGCCGGGCATCAGACATAGCCATTTCATCGACGAATTGCACGTGCGGTACTGCAGCGGGCTGCGGAGGGCGCCGACGTTGTAGACGGTAGATGTTGGACGTTTTTTTCTGGTTCTTGGGTCGTTTGGCGCGGCGTCGGGCGTCGGTCTGCGGCCATGGACTTGTGGACTTGGGTATGCGTGGTCGCCAGCGGAATTCTGGTCCGAGTCAAAACTCTGGTCCGAGTCGACTATCTCGCTTCACGTGCGTTATGCATTCTCGCCTGGTGTCCTTCGATCTGCGTTGATTCGGGTCCCGTGCTTTGCTCTACCTCTAGTTGCTCTGTTTCGGCTCGCTCGGTACGCTTCCACGTGACTCTAGACGACAACGCACCTTAACGCTAGATGCGAATGAATTGTGTATTTGGCATCGGAGTGTCCGGGACCCGAGACGCCGCGCTATGCTTCATGGGTATCGTAAAATGCATCATCGGCTCCTCGCCGCACGCCACGCTCAGTCGCACGCTTAGATCCACGCCAGACTCCACAGCGCGGGCATCTGCGGCCAGCGCTCCTGCCAGCTCGCCAGTATCGCAGGGACCTTCTCGTCAAAGCCGCTGCGCGCAGCGCCGGCTCCCATGCCCCAACCGCTCTCGCCATGGGCCTCCCTCTCGCTGCCCGCAGCCTCGTTGAGCGACAGGGCGAGGTCCAGAATCGCCTTGCCGCCGACCAGGGCCTCCTCGTGGTTATCCTTGATGTCGACGTTAAAGACGTGCACGGGCCTATTCAGCTTGCCGCCTTTGTTGTGCAGATCCTCCAGCACGGCGTCAAAGCAGCGCTCCTCGCAGGTGATGACGACGTCGGCGACGCCGGCCTCGGTGCCTGCGTAGCCCTGGTCGGATTCGTGCTCGAGGCGCGGTTTGCCGGGGACCCAGTCTTGAAAGCGCTCGGGGAAGGACTTGATGTTGAGATTGCGGCCCAGCATGTTGAGCAGGCCGTTGTGCGTGTAGAGAGCCGCGTTTTGCGCGGATAGCTCCGAGTGGATCGTCGCGTAGGTGGTGCTGTTGAAGTGGTAGACGTTGGGTTGCGTGATGGTGGGGCCTGGGAGCCGGACGAGCGAGCCGGTGCCGAAGGATATGGTGGGGAGGTGTGCGGAGGCGAGTTGGAGGTGAGCTTCCATTGAGCTGGAGGTGTGAGTTAGTCGGGGGTTTGGAGCTGGGGGACGATGACCTACCGGTTTTGGTTACTGGCGCAGACGGTGCAGAACTTGAGCTTGAACTTGTCGTCCGGGACGACGTTGGGGTTTGCGGGCGCCGGCGGTGCGGGAGCTGATGAAGCGTCGGCGGCGCCGTCCATGCCTATGGGCTGCGGGCCCACGGGTTGCGGCTCCATGGGCGGCGGCGGCGGCGGCGGCGGAGGGGGCGCAGCCTGAGGCGTGACCTGCTGTTTGCGGCCCCGAAGGCGTGGATCAGACATGGTGAAGGACTGAGCACGTAGATAGGAGAATTGGCACGAGAGCAGGCGTTGGTGGATCAGGTACGTGAGTTGACCATATGTTGCAGGGCAGGGCACGCGAATGGAGAAGGAATACGCGACGGACGACGTCACGTGAGTGATGTCGAAACGCGTCGGTCGTGGTGGGTCTCAGCTCGAATTTGCAAATTTCTGGAGGATTTCTTCGCGCTGTTAGCAGTGCTCTTGCCATATTCATGAGCGAGGATGCAGCGAGACAGCAGTAAGAGCGTGTATCAGAATTTTCAGTGTGCGTAATTATTTGAGTCCTCAAAGGCTATGCCTAGGACAGCTCCAATAATAGTATTCATCATCACAGCAGCTATCTACCAAGGCAGTACTTACGATTGAGGGTTTGACGCCGCTGGCAATGCATGAATTGACAGCTGGCGCGGCGTGGTTGCTGGTGAGCACACGAGGTGCGTGGAGTGAAGAAATGGGTGAGGCGTTCGAGGTTGGTTTTGCTCGCTAAGAGGATGCTGACTAAGGATATGATTCAAGGTTGGTTTGCTCGCTAAGAGGATGCTGACTAAGACCCCAAGGACTGTGTGCTGTGCATTGCAGGCATCCACGTGATGAGGGGCAAAAGTCGATCGCTCGGCGGTCGCGGCAGCAATGCCTTGATCGAGGCAGATTGGTTGCCACGGCATTGCGTGCTACTGCTCTTCTCGACCAGAGGAAGAGATTGCAATCCTCTTGGGGAAGTTGGGCGCTCGATGAACCATGTCTCTTTGCCGGGGTGGAGCCAGGCGTCGCGGTTCTGAAACACACACGTGAGAACTAGGCCGAAGCCGTGCAGGGCTCACGACCAGGCGGTTGTCCGGTTCGTGGTCGAGGGCAGAGCCGCCGATTCAAGCGGCAAGCCCCTCGTCCCTGCCAGCCGAGTGTCTTTGCGAGCAGCCTCTTACGGACCTTTCCTGCATACGAAGTACCATCCGGACGTGTTGCTGGCGCCTGCTCGAGCGCGCCTGGAGAGAAGTGAACGACGCCGATTCCACGCGTGCAGCGCTGCCCTCGGTCTCCAGACGTCAAGACGCCGGCCGGGTCTAATTTTGGCGCAGCGTGCAGCCAGCGACGTGCACGACGGCGGGCTCCAACAACCCGCCGCACAATCTGCCTGCTGCGTCGCCTGTCGCCCGTCGCCTGTCGCCTGTCGCCTGTTGTCTGTCGCCTGTCGTCTGTCGTCTGTCGCCCGTCGCTCCTTTGCAAGCAACACGCACGCCCACTGCACCCGCCCCGCCGTCGCCCGCCGGCCTCGAGAGCAGCGGCCTTTGTGGACGACGCTGCCGACACTGCGCCGTTCGCTGCTGTCGCTGTTGACTGCTCACTGGGTCCGTCTGAGCGCCAGGCTGCTCCCCGCAGCAAGTGAAGACCGTCCGTCCGCTGACGTGCATCCTCGCAGACCCACGAGCGCCCACGTCCGCACTCCGCGCATGCCCACCGCCGCCGACATGGCGGCCGACGTCATGTCCCGCGCTGGCGACAGCGCCTACCTGGGCTCCAACCGCACCTCGCTGCCGCCGCTGGTCACGTCGCCGCCGTCGCACGCCAAGGTGGAGCGCGCGAGCTCGTACGCCAGCAAGCGCATGTCGACCTTCTCGACGGCCTCGGCGGCCTCGACGGCCTCGACCACGCACGCGCCCGCCCCGCGCTCGCGCCCGCAGTCGGTCGCCTTCCCCGCCTTCCACTCGAGCCTGCCCTACGCCCTGGTGCGCGACTTCGCATACGACCCGGCCCACCCACTCTACTACGGCCCGCTGCCCGCCGAGCACACGTCAGGCGCCTCGACCCCCGCGAGCGACGCCAACCGCCGCCTCTCCGACCCGCCGCCCGTCGCCTGGCGTACCGACCGCACCGCCCGCGCCGACCGCGCCTCGAGGACCCCGGGCCTGCATCCCCTGGGGCTCGGCGAGCAGCTGCCCATGACGTCGTTCGGCGATGGCCCGCCCTACAGCGAGGACGACGACCTCGCCAGCCCCGTCGTCACGAGCCACCACAGCGCCCGGCACAAGAAGCAAAAGTCGAACCAGGTCGACTTCGACCACACCCGCGGCCGCCGCGCTCCCGACGAGCACCGCCGCAGCTCCGTCACAGGCGTCAACGGCGAGGGCAGCTACTACCCGGCCCACGTCAACGATGCCGCCAATGCCATCGGCGGCGAGTACATCACTTACCCGCCCACCGCCGACTCGCTCCTCGACGTCCCCGAGGGCGCCTCCCGCCGCGACTCGCACTTTGCCGCCATCCTGCCCCAGCGCTCCTACGCCAACGAAGAAGGGCCGCCGTACGACTCGGACGAGGAAATGTCCGAGCTCGGCGACTACATCCAGGACGACAACCGCTTCTCGCGCGACTACCAGTTCACCATTGCGTCGCCCGACGAGGAAATGCACGGCAAGGCGGTGGCCCTGTTCGACTTTGCGCGCGAAAACGACAACGAGCTGCCTCTTGTCGAGGGCCAGGTTATACTGGTCTCCTACAGGCACGGGCAAGGCTGGCTGGTGGCCCAGGATCCCAAGACGGGCGAGAGCGGGCTGGTGCCGGAGGAGTACGTGCGCCTGCTGCGGGATATCGAAGGCGGCTGGAACGGCCTCATGAACGGCGCCGTGCAAGCACAGGAGGCCAATCCTGGGCTGGACAGCCTGCTGAGCCCCATCTCGGCTGGCCCAGAGGCCAAAACGCCCACGCAAGCCGACCACTCGTCGTACACACCCGTCATCTCCACCTTCTCGACAAGCCACAAGGATCTGGAGCCCTACCCGAAAGACCGACTCGCCACGCCAACGAACTCGGAGGGAGGAAGCTTCGGCAAGGGGAAAGAGAGCGGCTCAATGGAGGGCGTCGAGACTACGCCCGAGCCGCAGTCCAAGCGCCAGAGCTCATGACCTGGACAGCCCCAAAATCCAACACTTGACGACATTCGCTTCGCCACCATGTCTTAACCAGCCACCTTTTTGCGTCTGCCTTGCATTTACTTGGCGTCAACTCACGCCAGCATGTTGTTCTCTCTACACAGTACGCTGTCACTACAGAGACTTCTTCTCTTCCCCGTCCGCCGCCTCCACGCGCCCGACATACCTTTTTGTAGTTGTACTGCTTCCTCTTCTTCCGAGGGGGGGGGGAGGGTCGAGTTTTCTTGGGGGTCTTTTTTTTTTTTTTTTTTTTTTTTTTTGCTTACGACGCCCGCCGCTTGCATGGCCGGCGATGATGATGATGGATACCTCGGTGGGATTGGGAATGGTGCAGTCGACAGCCGCCTTACTGTACGCGGCTGGGAGATGAGACGTTAATAAATCATGTTCACTAATCTGCTGCTGCCGTCTGCGCTTGCGTGGGCATCGTCACTGCTGATTTCGTGTGCGTGTGTGGGTAGAAGCAGAAGTAGGGGTGGAGGTGGAGGTGAAGGTTTGGACTTGATACTCGTCGTTTTTTTTTACTATGCACTGCTACCGCGTACTACTCACCACCGCGCAGTCCCTCGAAGCAAATGCAGACCCCGATGTGGTGTTCGCGGTTATTCGCGGACGCGACGCTCAACGCTCCGTCTGTGCAGCCCGGGCAGAAACGCTGGCCACCTACGTGGACCCTCATCGCGCCCTTGCTCTCCTCGTCCATCGCCCGCCTCCCCCAGAGCAGGACGGCGTCCTTGCTCCTCTACCACGGCGCATGTGTCTGCCGCCTCAAGGCGAACTTGCAGTCTCTCTCTCCTCGCCTGTATCTCGGCCCTCCGTGCTGAGGATCCAGCGAGGTATCACCAGGCTCCTACGAACAACATGGTAGTACCAGCGACGGCAGCTGGTCGATTTTTCGGTACAGGTGCGTTCAACATGCTCGGTCACACAATCCTAGCTCCGGCAGCTTTCGATCCATCGATGAGCCGAGAGTTTGCACGTCTCAGCTCCAGCCAGTTTCCTCGCTAGAAGATACGCCGACGTAGGCAAACCCAGCTTCTCTCCATCTACAGCAACGCTCGTGCTGTTCGGCCACCTACGCTATCACCACGGATTCATCGTGCCCCACACACCGGCCAGAAATGGCGCGCTTCACCATACAAACGACAGTATCATGGATCGCGAGCACAGGGTGCGGGGTACCCCGCAATCGAAGCCAGGCACATGGCACCAGGGTTGTCCTGCTAGGAGATGCGGCGCGGTGCATGTTCACACCACGGTGTGAGGGAGGATTGTCTTGCGCTGCAGATACCGGCCGGATACCGTGAGGTGCGTTGCACTGCGGGATCAGTGAGCGTCGATATGGGATGCGCGCGGGGTACCCCGCGATTAGACAGTGGTAGACTGCTTACAGAACAGTAACGCAACGTGATCCACCAACTTGTAGCACTAGAAAAGGTTAGAAGAAGCCTACCTAGTAAAATAAAGCTGTGGATGATATAGAAACGCTAGGGTAGGATTGATATCTTCGCAATGTATTGTATGATTGGTTTATAGATATTGCTGTTATTCTTAGGCTTGCCCGCATGTTGACAAGCTAAGGCAGGTTCCCCACGAACGGACCCTTGCAAAGTGATCGAACAGCTCTGACGCAATGTCCACTCACATCGTTCTGTCCCCGGAACGTACAAGGTAGCGTCTTCGTAGTACCCACACGGTTTGGTGACAGATAACCGCGGCGCGAAACTGGACCTGTTTGGTTCGGGCTCGGCCGGACACAAGTTACTAGCAGGCATAGGCTACCAACAGGTAGCTCCCGAATCGTGAGCCTATAAATGTAGCAAAACCCAAAGCCGTTGCTGGGGCAAGAGCTGCACCGTCTGCTTCATCAAAGAGTTGTGCACGACTTCTTGTACTATGACTCCAGGATACAGGCTGGGCGTTGACGTTGGCGGGTAAGTGGCGCCTCCTCGCTTCACTAAGCTTCTCAGACAGGTCGCAGTTGCGGTCCATTCGTCACTCGCGCTGACACACGAACAGCACCTTCACGGATATCTGCGTCATCACCCCCGATGGCGAAGCGATTCGCGCCAAAGTCCCCACGAATACGAGCGATCAGTCCATTGGCGTGCAGGAAGGCGTAGAGCAAGTGCGCCGCATCCTGCAGGACAAGTACGGCTGGAACGACAAGTTCGAGTACATCCACCATGGAACGACGACGGGCACGAACGCTGTGCTCGAGGGTAAGGGCGCGAAGGCTGGCCTCGTCGTTACCAAGGGACACAAAGATATTTTGACGGTGCGGAGGAGTCAGATACCGGGTGGCTTAGGGGCATGGATCAACTATGTCCAACCTGAGCCGTTGGTACCTCTCGAGCGGACTGTCGAAGCCAAAGAGCGCATACAGATCAACGGCGATGTCTTTCACGAGCTCGACGAGGCAGACTTCAGGGAGAGCCTACAGGATCTGAAGCGTCAGCAACCGCAGGCAATTGCTGTGTCGCTCTTGAACTCGTTCAGCAACAATTCTCACGAGGAGAAGATCCGCGCCATATTGCTCGACGAATTCGGCCCAGACGTTGAAGTCGTCACGTCCACTGATGTCCTGCCCGAGATTCAGGAGTACGAGCGGACGGTGACCACCGCAGCAAATGCGATTGTGAAGCCAGTGGTGAAGAGGTATATGAATAACCTCCAAAAGAAGCTTGCGAAAGACACAGATATCCTTCGCATACTCAAGTCAGATGGCGACCTGACAACTGTGGACCTCGCAGGCGAGACGCCGGTACACATCCTCATGAGCGGTCCAGCGGGCGGCGTAAAAGCAGTTTCCCACCTGATCGCAAAGGCCACGGCCTACAAAAATCTCATCACATTTGACATGGGCGGCACAAGTACAGATTGCGCGCTCTTATCTGGGGGCGAAGCCATCATTCGACGTGAAACTGAAGTCGGTCCTCTGACAGTACGAGCGCCGTCCGTCGACGTGAAGACTGTAGGCGCTGGAGGAGGATCAATAGCCATCTACAACGAGTTCTCGAAGAATTTCCGCGTAGGTCCCGAGTCCAGTGGCGCCACTCCCGGCCCTGCAGCGTACGGCAAAGGAGGAACCCAAGCAACAGTGACCGACGCAAACCTCACGTTGGGCTACCTGCCTTCGAAGCTGCTCGGTGGGACGTTCCAGCTCGATGTCGCTGCATCTGCTGCAGCTGTCGAGTCAATCGCAAAGCAGATGGACATGGCCACTACTGCCGCTGCTGAAGGCATCGTCGATCTCGTCAACGAGTCTATGCATGGTGCTTTGCGGCTTGTCTCGGTCGAGCAGGGGTATGACCCTCGTGACTTCGCCCTCGTTGCGCTCGGTGGAGCTGGGCCGATGCACGCCAACTCGCTAGGCAAATTGCTCGGTTCCTGGCCTGTGATTGTGCCACCTAGTCCTGGCGTACTGTGCGCTCAGGGTGACGCCATCACGAAGATGTCCCACGAGTTGAGCTGCACGTTCATCAAGGTCTTCTCCGAGATCGAACCGCAAGGTTTGACACAAACACTGGACGACCTAAAGATTAGATGCATCCAAACTATGAAAAAGTCGCTGGGAGATGAACACGCAATTCTGAAGGTCGTGTACCAATCCGACATGCGTTACAAAGGCCAGGCCATGACAATTACTGTAGCTTTCAGTGAGGATGACGCTAGGGATACAGCTCACCTATTCGAGCACCTCCGCGTCAAGTTCAACGAAGCGCACGAGCAGCAATTCTCCTTCTCGCATGCTAGCGGCGAGCTCGAGATCATGCGACTCCGTGTGAGAGTGACTGACGCGTCTGAGGAGGTCGCAATCAAGCCAGTCGAGAAAGCCAGCACATCGATACCGCCTGAAGATGCTATCGTCACCAGGCAGAACATCATTTATGAGGGCAACCAAGTGGAAGCCGCTTTCTGGGACCGATCAAAGATTACAAAAGCTGGCATTAAGATCCCTGGACCAGCCGTTGTGACAGAGATGGACTCGAATACACTTATTCTTCCTGGGTACTTTGGTGAGATTGACTCCATGGGCAACATCCTCATTTGGCCCGAGTCGAAAACTACGCGCGCTAAGGAGACACACAATAAAGAGTCTGCTGAAAAGCTTGTGCATGAGCAGCCACTCATACCTGCGCTCGTGGGCTCAGCACTTGGCTCGATACGACGAGAGATGGACACACTCATGTTGCGGTGCGCAATGAGCCCGGCTATTCGAGAGCAGCAGGACGAGTTCAATGTCATCACCAATACCCGTGGGCAGATGCTTGTTGGGCAATTCGGCAGCTTCATTCAGCAGTTTCTGAACGGCTGGAAAGGCACTATCGAAGAAGGGGACGTCTTTGTGACAAACGACGTGTATCAGATCGATGGAGCCGTGTCACATCTCAACGATGTCATTATTTTGCTACCCATTCACTACGAACACAAACTCATCGGTTGGGCTGCCAACTTTGGTCACCTCACTGATGTGCAAGGCAAGGTGCCTGGATCAATGAGCATTAATGCAAGTACCATCTTCGAGGATGGATTGCAGATACCTATCGTGAAGCTATACGACAAGGGCGTGTACAACGAGGCCTTGGCAACAGTATTGTTCCGCAACTCACGCATGCCACATTGGTTCCAAAGCGACTTGATCGCGCTGGTCACCGCCTGCAGAACTGCAGCTACTCGCGTTAACGAGCTCTGCTCGCGGTACGGTATCGAAGTCTACGAAGCGGCGATCGACTATCTTCTCGAGCAAAACAAGCGCGCTATCAAAACTATCATCGACACCAAGATCGGCTCTGAAAGATCCTCTTTTACCGATTTCATTGACGACGATGGTCAAGGCATAGGTCCATACGCGATTTCTTGCTCGATGCAGAAGGAAGGCGACAAACTTGTCTTTGATTGGGACGGCACATCACCCCAGTCTAACACAAGTATGAACTTCTTCCTCAGCAAGACCATGTTCAAGGTCTTCATCGCCTACTACCTTCTCGCCATCTACGACCCGCATGTCGTCGTCAACGATGGCTTTCTGGATCTGCTCGATATCCGTATTCCTGACGGCACAATCCTGCGACCTGTTCGTCCTGCCGCGGTATCCTGTCGAACACATCTGCTCGGCAGAGTAATGGACGTCATGCAAGCCCTCTTCGGCCAGCGCAATCCAGCGTACAGATGCGCAGCAGGCTTCTCAGACTCGCCTTACTTGTTCTACAGCGGCTTTAAGCCTGATGGCGATTTCTATCTGCTGTTCCAGATCGGCTTCGGCGGTGTGCCCGCGCGACCCATTGGCGATGGACCGGACTGCCACTGCCTGTTCCCTGCCATCAAGAGCATTCCCGCAGAGAACATCGAGTTGTACTTCCCCGTCATAATCGAGGCCAACGAAGCGCTCGCGGACTCGGGAGGCGCGGGCTTCTTCAGGGGTGGTAATGCGCAGAGGACACTGTATAGGTGGTTGTGTGAAGGCGATGTGAGCATCCACGATGACCGGTGGATGGTTAAGCCGTGGGGTGTCAATGGCGGCAAACCCGGCAGCCGAAGTCGCAAGATCATATACCGCAATAACAGTTACGGTACGGATAAGGAGACGGAGAACGCCGAGCTGGTGCAGAGCAAGATGGATCATATTCACGTGCACCCTGGTAAGTCTACTGACTCTCTCCAAAGCTTCCAGAACGTGAAAGCATCTAGGGTGTTTCTTGGCTAATATCTGCAGGCGACGTGCTCGAATGGATTACCTGGGGCGGCGGCGGCCTCGGCGATCCGCTCACAAGGCCCGCGGACATCGTGGCGAAGGAAGTCCACCGCCGCCTCGTTACTTTCGAGGGTGCAAAACGTAACTACGGCGTCATCGTAGCCCCGGATTTTAACGTCGACGAAGCCGCAACCGCAACTCTAAGGCGGGAAATGGCTCAACGAATGACCGAGAATGCTGAGATGTTGACGAATGGAGCACCGAAAGGCGAAGATCGAGGTGCTGCGGAGGGTGGCGATGCTGTGGGGTACAATAGGGGCGGTACGATGAGCGAGTTGATCCAGCGCTGCAGGGAAGAAACGGGACTTGAGCCGCCCAGGCCCCAGTGGGAGAGGGATCCGTACGGACCGCATACTGGGCTGCCGTATGTGAAGGAGTGGTACAGGAGAATGAGGGAGGAAGGGATGAGGGGCTGGGATCACGTTTGAAGGTGCTACGGGTCTGGTCGCGTTTACAAGGGATTCTGAGAAGAATAGGTTGTTGGATGTGCAATGAAGTATTGCCGTTCGCTCGTCTATGTACCACGCGCTGCAGGTCAGGGCGGATAACGCGCCTCGCTGTTGTTTTCGTACGGATTCACCACGTGGAGCGGATTTAATAACTACGAAAAGAGCCATTACGCGAGTGCGCTCGATGAGGACTTTGGTATTCAGCTTTCGCTTAGGTGCTCTGTCTGGAGCAATGAGGCGTCGAGGCTTATCGGCACGAGGCTTCGGTCGCACCAATTGGAGCGCTGATCCTCAGCCATTCCAATACCCACAGCAATTCTGATAGCTATAAGCCTGTGAGTGCGACATGCTGGGAAAGCTCCGCACATGCATACAGGCTTTTGGGTTTCAACCTGGGAGTACAAAGACATCGTATCATCCCCCAAAGGAACGGCACTTGAATGTGACACCGTACTCCGACCATCAGAATGAATTTCCAGCCATCCCTGCCAACACCTGGATTTCCAAACATCCCCGCGGTACCGCCTGGGTGGAAAGCTGAATGGAGTGCACAGTATGCTAGATAGTAAGTCGGATCTTGTGATTCTTGATGGGTGCGCGTTGACGACTCCATCCAGCTTCTATGTCAATCTGAACACTAATGAGAGCGTTTGGATCTTACCTTCGGTGCCAACGCTTGATCAGACTCAAACTCCTCAGCCGGTGGTTCAGAGGAAACCGTTGCCAGCTCTGGGCGCGCAACTACAGGCAACAAATGGCTACTTACCTCAGCAACAATCGCAGGTCCAGTACCCGACCAGTGCTCAGCCTTTGTTTCAGCAACAGCAGCAACAACAGCAACACAGTCCTCTGGCACAAATTCACCAGCACTTCTCGCCTCTTCCAACACCGGGCAAAACCCAGCAGCGAAACAGCTACATCTCGCCCAGTCCTCAATACCCCCCCGCGCAACAGCAGAACATTACCCAAGCATCGAGCCTCGCGCCATACAATCCACAGCTAGGTCTCCACACTCCTCCTACCGAGCAGCAACAACCTCACTACACCACCCCTTCTGTGGATTCAAATGCATACTTTGCGCCCCCACCGCCAGCTAACACCACCACCCACCACCCTCAACACGCATACAGCTTCGCACAACCGCCACAACAGTATCCCCAGTATCCACATCAGACACAGGCATACCAGCCCGCCCCGCCAACACCTCTGATGCAGCACACTCACCGTCCCTCGACGCTTTCCTCCCTCTCGTCGAATCCAACGCTGAACAAGTGGTCAAGCAAACTAAGCGGGTTCCAGAACAAAGCCAGCGCAACACCGGTCTCGACGATGGCGAGACCTATACCTACGCCTGCGGCTGCGCCGAAGGGTGCGGCTGGGGACTGGAAGAAATGGACTAAACGCGCTGCGATCGGTGTTGCGGCCGTGGGCGCGTTGGCGCTGGGTGTGGATGCGATTGGCGACGCGGGAGCGGCTCTGAGCGGAGGCGGAGACTTCAGTGGAGGCGGAGACTTTGGCGGAGGGGAGGTTGGAGCAGGGGGGAGTGAGGCGCTCGATGCGAGTGCGGCGCAGGCGGCGATGGAGCAGCAGGGGCAGCAGAATGCGCTTATGTTGCTGGATCCGCCGGGGACGACTTGTGAGTATCTTTTTTTTTCTTTTTCTTCTTCTTCTCTTTCTTTTCGCGTCGAGGGGAGGCGGTGGTGCTGACGTAGGCAGATACAGTTGTGAATTCAAACAGTCTGATTTGAGGATGGGGATCTAGGGGTTAGGGAGGATCCTTGGATGATGGAGCATACGGTGAGAGGTGAATCAGGTTTGTCTGCTGATGAAAGTCGAAGTGGAAATTCCGAGGACGATTTGGGCTGTTGTCGTAGTGGTTGAATAAGTTTGCGGGCTTCAAGGTGGAGGCAATATTGAACAACGCGTGGCGGGTTTGGCGTGACTGCCTCCGACCTCCTGAGTGACGTGTGTGAAAGCTTTGGATATGTTCGAGAATCCCAATACAGCCTCGTTATCAGCAAGACAGCGGTGCAATGCCTACACAGTTGAGCAATTCTAGTTTTCGCTTCTGGATGAGTTTCGGTTTTAACGCGTGGAATACGACATGCTCGATGGTTGGCGAAGAGTGGGAAATCGACAAAATAGCCTCTCAAGGCGAAGTTCGGATGTTCTCCATAGTCTGACACGCAGGCTGCGTGGATCCGTACAGGGACACATACTTCGACACATTAGGTTTAACTGTGACATGGCGAGTTACTCGCGAAACTAGTCGAGTGGGTTCGAGGTATGTCACACTGCATACCACTGCGTGCCTTGGGATCGACCACTCTCGGTCATACCTACTTTGAACCCCTTGGCACTCCTACGTTGACTTTACACGTTCGTGTGTGTAGTATGCGGTTGCATTTATAGCATTTGAGGCGTTCCTGACGAAGGGTGATAGTTGGCGTCGATATGTAAGTGGTGGAGATGAGTACGAGTTACTTTGTAACGGTTAAGAGGAGAAGCGGATCACGTGTTGTTGGCGGTGGTCTGGTGTTACTTCCTCATGTTGTTGAGCACCTCTTACCTTGGCTGCGTTACAAAGACGTCATCAAAACAAACCCCGCAGCGAGCCTTGGAGAACATAGACACAACGACAAGAACAACAGAACACAATACACTCATTATATGCATTTTGCTCTTCATACCGCAACAGTTATGAGCCCGGATTGCGACTAGTTAGCTCGCTCACTCACAACAACTGATTGGCACCTACGATCGAGATCAACAATTGATCATACTGTACGGAGCCGCCGACCCACTGATAGGCACCTACGATTGAGATCAACAATTGATCATACTGTACGGAGCCGCCGACCTACTAATTAGCACCCACGATTGAGATCACGATTGATCATACTGTGCGGAGCAACTTACAATGACTACTGAGTCAGACCCTGCGGTCACCCGAGTGACAGTTGTCCTCGATCGAGCTGACGACTGGCACAAGTGGCTGTTCATACGAAAAGATACTGCGCAGAAGAACGAGCTCTGGCAGTACGTTGACCCTGCCACGAAGGCAGCGGTCTTGCCTACGTTAATGGCACCAATTGAACCTCAATTGACGGATCACAACAACGATGCTACGTCACTTGCTCATCTTACTGCCACGCAGCAGAAGCTGTACCAATGGGAGTACGAGCGATGGGAGCGCAAGGACATTGAGTTCAGGCGTCAGAAGAAGGCTCTTGCTGAGTTCAACTCTGAGATCAGCAAGACGATTGCTGCAAAGCACCTTTACTTGATTGAGAGCAAGGACACGCCATACGAGCGGTTGACGACGCTCAAGAAGCATCTTGCACCATCCGACGCATCACGACAACGCGATCTAATCGCACGATACAAATCTCTCCAGACGCCGCCACGCGGCAGGAAGATTGAGGAGTGGCTTCGCTCCT